GAATACCAAAACAAGATGAGGACCAAGTATCAACATGCTCATTTCAGAGGGATCCGAGGGTTGCCCAAAGGCCTCCACCTCCAGAAGTTTCCTGTTCGGGGGTAATTCCCTCCCCGCATCCCTGAAATTCCTGCCTAGAATTGCTGATTGGAACAGAACAGCAAAGTCCAGGGCGTGGTTTCCAACACCAACCTGCCTCCACCTCGGATTCACAAATGCAAAGGGATATCACCATGGGTCTAACCACAGAAAGTGGAATCAACCCTGAGGGAAGAGGGTGATAACATGAGTATTGTGGGGGAAAAATGGTCCAGGGAGTGGACACAAGTGGCAGCCCTCAACAGTCACACTTTCCAGATAATTTTGAAATTCCCTTCCAATTCCTATACGTCTCTCATCTGAAGATGCAGGTTGCTGAGGGCAGCTGGGCACAGGCTGGAGGTCCTGCTTTTGCACAGAGATAGCAGCAGCTGACGTAGGGGGCTGAGGAGCACACAGGGAAGCCTCATCCACAGGTCCTGGAGCAACTTCCCCATCCCCTGCACCAGCGTTTATGAATAGGAAGGCCTGGGGCTGGGCCATGGAGAGGAAAGCCCAAGGTCTGGTCTGCCTACTGCCGATAAGTAATTACACAAGACAAGCAGAAGGAATCCAGACCGAGATCTAAGAGCATCCAGATGCCCGCCGCAGCGGGCCCAGTTCCTGAGCTATGACAGGCTTTAATGTGCGCCCCAGCTCTTGGGGACAGAGGCCTGGCTGCCGGCCCTTCTGTTCCCTGGCACAGACCCAGGCCCCCTGACCAGGGGAGGGGACTACTGGCTCCCTCTTCTCCACACTCCGAACACATGGCCCAGGCCCAGGACAGTTTTCAGAATTGAACATGAGCTCTTAGTATACACTTGATCATTTAAATGAGGTGTATGTGCAGGACCCTGTGCCGGGTACTTTAGATACTTCAACAGAGTTAATCCTCACAGAGGAGCAAGCTGAAAAATAACCTCTATGGTGTCGCTGAAAGGCAATCAGAACAGACAAATAAGAAAATGAGACTCAGCACAATGAAGTACTTTTCCCAAGGCTGCACAGCTAATACACGGCCACCCTGCATTCCCATCCAGCCCTGGCCACGGCATCCCTGGGCCTGCGAACACGGCCCGCCACCCACACCAGCTTCCCGGACATCTGTGGAGAAAGAGAACACTCAAACATTAAATGCAATTTTCCTCCTTCTAAAGCATTTTGCATCAAGAAAGAAAGGGAGGGGGATCTAACAAAACCACAGACCACGTATCAAAAAGCGCAGCCCAAACATCTCTGGGTGCCCACTTCCCTGCATTCTCCTTTCTCCAGAAAGACAGTCAATTGCCTACTTCCTTCTCCTGTGAGTTTGACAGAACAAAGAAGCATAGGACAAAAGCAGGGAAGGATGAAGTGACAGCCGCAGAACTATGGCTGATCAACTTGCCCCGCATCAGAAAGTCAATGATTGAAGCAAGGTCTTTTCGCGCGCCTGGAAAGAGGACCTGCCCAGGGGAGGGGCTCTCCTTCCTGCCTTGAGACCACTCGTCATCCCGCCCCGGCAGAAGAAACAGCAGCAGCAGGAGGTGGAGAGAGGCAGAGGGAGGAGTGGAAAGAATGGAGTGATGGTAGACGAGGGAGAGAGTTGGGGAAGACAGGGTAGGTCCAGAAGGCCAGGAGACCAGGCATGCTTCATTTGAAGGCTTCTTCCAGCCCCCCACGTGTATGAGGTCTGCTGATTGGGGAGAAAGGGTGAGCCAGAAGTTGGGACTTTCGCAGGGCTTTCGCTGGGAAAAGCCAAGCGTGACAGAAAAGGAAGCCTCTAGGTCTCTAGGGTTAGGATAGACCAGGAGCATCTCGGGGAGAATGTGGAAAGCAGAGAATGGGGATGTGAATACATGAGAGAGGCTCTGAGATGAGTAAGAGAGAAAAGTCACCAAAGATAGAACAGTGAGCAGGATGGAGGTGGGTAGGAAGACACATCTATAACCCACCTTATTCCTGTCCTCCACCTCCTGGACCAAGGCAGGGGCACACGATTCTCCAGCCTGGGACCCCAGCTGCCCCTCTCATAGCCGCACAATCTCTTTGCAAGCTGTGGTTTGTGGGCCTCTATAGTGCCTGAGTTCCCCACCAGCCCATGAGCTCTATGAGAAAGTAGGTGTGTCTCACACCCCAGGTCGGCACTCAGGGGTCACCGGTGGTGTGGATGGACAAATTAATGCAGGGGGCTCTTTCACCCAACATGACTGATCCTCCACAGGTCTCTCCCAGGGGTCCCACCCCTACTCCCCGCCAGGCTCTGCGCTGTGTGTATGGGGCTGCTTCTCTTCCCTCCTGATTTCCAGCTCTGCCTCCAGATCTGTCTTAGAGACGAGAAGCGCAAGGTTGGCAGAAGTGTGGCCTTTGCGTTTGTCTGCTGCCTCCAATCTGTGCCCCGGCTCGGGGAGGTGGGGAGAGGGATGGGAGGTAGGAGGTGGAGAAGGGGCTCTATGAATATTGGAGGAGTAGAGAATTTTAGCCAGAGACTGCCTTTTCATTGCAAGGAATGGGAGAGAATGTAGTGGGACAGTAATGTCTTTTCCAAGCTGACCCTTGGCTCAACATGAAAAAAAAAAGGCAGCAGTGGAAAGTGATGTCAAGACACCAGCGGTGTGTTTGAAAGGCAGGATCCCTGGGTCCAGTACCAACTGGCCCCTCACTCCCAAATCCAAGGCACTGCTACTGTGGTTTTTCAACAAATTTCTATTCTGACCTGAGCTACACCAGATAGTACTCAGTGCTAGGATCGGGGTAGAGAGCAACATAGACAGCCTAGGTCCCCATCCCAGTGGTGCATATGGCCTGCAGGGAGATGCGGGACTGCAGTTGTGCTAAGCACTGTGGCAGAAAAGCACAGGAGGCTCTGAGAGCACAGAACAGGCACCTGGCTCCACCTGGGAGGTCGGGGAAAGCATCTCCTATGAAGTGACTTTCAGGAAGAGGCTGAGGAGCAAGGAGGAGGAGCCCAGAGATGATGGAAAGGGATGGCACGGGCCTGGTAGGCAGCCCTGGTTGGAGGAAGCCTGGCCTGCCTCAACCACAAAAAGGTTGCTATGGCTAAAGCGTAAAGAAAAGAATGGGCCTAGGCAGCTCCACTGACTGAGAAAACAGAAAGGCTGGGGACACAAAGACCGCCCTGGAAGCCGATAGTGACCCAAAGCAATAGGCCTGCATACATGCAAAATCGAGGCCTGTGTACGTGAAACCACCTGAGACCTGTAGTGACTCAGGAAAAATGTGAGTTGGGCGGAGGAGGCTCACTGTGCCTTAGGAAAGGTGGGGAGTGAAGGAAGGTGGGCACCACAGAACCAGAGCCGGAAGACCCAGCTAGGGGCTGGGAGCAGCATTTGTAGCATCAGGGGATGCAGAGAGCAAGTCCAGGCTCTGCACTCACCATTGAGTTCGGCTGTGTATAGGCAATTTCAGCTCTGTGTCCCAGACTGCAAAGATGGCAAGTGTTCAGGAAAAGGAATGAGCTCAAATAAGTAGGGGAGTCTTGGAGAAGGAAGTAGAGAAGACTGGAGTTGAAGAAAACCAAAGGATGGTAAATGGGGTGGAGGGTATTCTAGGGTGGGGTAAGAAGAGCAAGCCTGAGGGAGGGTGCACCCGGATTGTGTAGGGGGCAGCTGGTCAGGGGGATGGGTAGGACCTGCAGGGCGCTGGGCAAGGAGGGCCTTTGAGTTCTGGTCAGGGGACGTCCACGAGAGGCCAAAGAGGGCCACTGGAGGATTTTGAAAGGTGAGCAGCAAAACAGTGTAGGTGGGGGAGAGTTTAATCCAACCGTGGTGTACAGCCCGAAAGGGAAGGAGAGGAGGGAGGCAAGTCAGGGGTCACAGCAGCCTACGCTGGGCAGGATGGGACTGAGGGGGTGCGCCACCGCAGGCAGGGGAGAAAGTGCCAAGTCCAAGCATTTCCGAGCAGTAGCACGGACTGGGGGTGTCGGTGGAAAGCTGGCTCCCGGGTCTGAGTGACTGGGTGAAGCCATGGGCAGTCTCAGTGCAGAAGGGCAGGCAGGGCTGGGGGAGGCCAGGAGAGCAGATGGGGAAAGGGTCACTTTTGAGGAAACCCAATGCACAAAATAAACTAAAGGGAGCTGCACTGGTTTGAAAGTAAAGGCACCATGAGCCCTAGCCCTTAGTCCCCCACCCTCACACTCAGATCTCGAGGACTTCCCAGAACAAGGCTGGAAAGTCCCTGTTAGCGCAGCTGAAGGTCGCAGACCAACCCCAGGGCAGAGATCAGGGTCAGAGATGAAGATCTGGGGTCGCCAGCGTGCAGCTGATAACCAAAGACACGTATGGCATCACCCAGAAGGACAGAGGCGGTGCAGTGCTGAGTGGTGGGGAGGCTCCCACTAACCACCCACCCTGTTTTGCCCTTTCAAATGCCAGCTACACGGTGCCACAGACACCATCTCCTCCTCGGGACTGTGCTTCCTGCGCTGCCTCTCCTGTATCAGATTCTGTCTGACTCCATCTCTCCCTCTCTTTCTACGTGCCCCTGGTCCAGCACACAGCCTCCTTGTCTCCTTTGCTTCTTTCTCTCTTCCTTCTCCCAGCTGCACAGGCACCGTCCATCTGGGCTCCTAGCTTTAGACTCTCTGAAGCTTCTCACCGCCACTGCCCCCTCATCAGGTCTTTTTGGGTGGCATTTCATGATTTATTTTTAGCCCCTGTGCCATCCTGAGGATGTGAACAATATTCCCGAGTCATGGTTTTGCACGGAAGCAGGGCCAGACACTCCCTGCACATCCCTGAAGATGGCTTATCAACCTCTTGCCAGGCCTACAGGGGAGAGAGCTTTATCCGACAGTTTCTTGTCTGGATGGACATTTTTCCTTCTTCCCCTCCACCTCCAGCTCAGCCTTCAGCTGCTCCAACCCAGGAGGCTTCAGTCAGGGAAGCCACCTGTTCTGGGGCAGCAACTTGAGCTAAACTCACCCGTATCCACATCACATCCTCAGCAGAGTCAGTTTCAGGAAAAAGGGATCGTGCGAAAGCCTCTGGTGTTTCTGTGATTGAAAACAGAGAGCAAGCCAGTTCAGAAAATGAGCAAGGTGAAACTGTTTCTAAAGAGTCCTGTATTGGGGGCCAGAGACTTGGGTTCTAGGCTTGTCACCTTAAGCAAATCACTTAATCCCACTCAAGGAGTATTTTCCAAATCCCTCCTCTCTGCGAGGCTCCAGCCTGGGTTCTGGTTTCACCTGAGTTAAACAAGCTGATCCTAGTAAATCACAATAATGGCTGTATTTATTGAACAATTACCACATGCAACGCGACATACTAGATACTCAGAAACACTGACATTTCTTTCACAGGAAGAAACTGGATCTCAAATTATTAATAGAGTCGCATGGCCCAGAAATCCGGATTTAAAATCATTTTGGTGTCATCAAATCCCAAGTATATCCACCCCACCTCTCACTCTCCCTGGGCCTCTTCTAGCCCCAGTTGTTGCCTGCCCTCGTTGCAGAAGAAAGAAAAACCGAATCTTAGACAATTACCCACTTGCCAGGTACCCCGGCTGGCAGGGTAAAATTCAGTGTTTGGGGAGCTTAGAGTGATGAGGGATGTGGAGAGCCTTCACACTACGGACAACAGTCACCAAGCAGGACCCCACGCTTGGCTGAGCCTGTGAAATATCTAGACACAAAACATCTCTGCCTGTCAATGCTTCCAAATGGAGAAAAAACCATTTTGTGTCTGTGGCAAGATTTCACCCAATTCTATCATTCACATTTTTAAAAGGAAATTCATTTGAATTTTGTCATGTAGTGTCCAATGTGACAGGATCATCAAGTGTAAGATTACAGTGTCAAACTGACAAGACCCAGCTTCCTGGCCCCTTCTCCCATGTCCTCTCTCTCTGTCCATCTCTCTCCCTCCCTCCCTTTTCTCAACAGCAATGCCCTTCCCCGTCCCCTGGCCCCACACATACACCTTTGGCTGCAGCTTGAGAACCACTGCTTGCCTTACAGATGCTTTGTGATCTCCCAACAGAAAATATAAAACGATGTGTAAATTACATGGCTGGGGTGAGAGGTGGGAAAGAGAAAGAATCCCTGAATCAAACTCAGAGACTAGTTTCTTCCAGATGGACATGAATAATCCCACGAGTGTTGCTCAGAGAGGGGCCGGTCTGCTGACCTTGATGCAAGTCCTGGGACCCGGCTGTTCCCTGTAGGATATTAGTCACTCCATAAAACCTCTAGGCCAGTTTCCCAGGCTGTGGGGCCCTATAGGCAATTTCCCATAGGGTCTCAGAGCCTGAGAACCTATGCATCTCACTGCCTGGTGGTCGGTTCATGTTGCAGCAGATGTGATTTGCCTCTTGAAACATGACTTCAGCAAATGTCCCAAGACAAAGCTGTAAACTTTCTTAACTTCTCTCGCAGAGGGAACTCCAGGACCCAACCCAGCATCCCTCCTTCTGGCCATGACACGTGTCAGAGCCTGGGGAAATACAGAGCTCTTGCCTCGAGGAAATGCCACACGCGTGTTTCCAAGAAACCACATGCTGGGAGTTCCAGGGCTGTTCCTGGGGCAGACGAAGGGGCAGCAAAGAGCTTGGAGCAGGATGTTCGGTGCCCAAGACACTTCCAAGACGAAGCTGAGGAGGGAGAAGCATGGACTCCTAGGTGGCCGGATTTGGAGGTCACCCAGCACAAGTCCCTCCCACGACACTCCTGTCCTGCATTCGTTGGGTCTTAGCCTAAACTCCACCTTCCCCTCCCCAGCAACTGATTTCACCATTGGATTCCTTTCTAGGTTTCAACATTCTTCAGCAGCTGACAATCACATGGCGGGCAGGGTGGTAGGGATATCTCATCAATGATGGAGTAAGAGAACACATTCATTCATTGTTCACTAAGTCTATCAGCCCTAAAGGTCTCTTATTTCCAAATAGGAAGGAATTCAGATTTAAAAGAGGGAGAGAGATCAGAACGGATGACGATTAGAAGAAGAGAGGAAGCGGGAGGCAATGCAGCTAAGACACTAGACAGGGAAGGGAAGAGCTCCAGGTATCAGACATCTGTGCTGGGCGGCATCACGGGTGAGTGCAGGAAAGAAAATTGATGACTTCATAATATTTTTACAACTTTACAACAAATATAAATCTGAATCTGTCGCATGTACCAGGGTCTAACAAGGGCAGAAAGCAAAGGCAAACTCAAGTTTATGAGCCCTCCCCCTACACACAGAGGTGCTGGGGGACCTCTGTGTGCAGGGGTTTTACGAAAAGTGTCCTTGTGTGGACACGAACACGGTCAACGATGCTATAGAGGCAACTCCCTGGACACACTCCATTCGGGTGGCTCTGATCACCAGTCACATGAGTCCTTGTGTCTGTGTCTTGATCTATCCCCGAATTACAATAGCAGCTTAGGATAAAGCTAACAGCATGCCTCCTAAAAAGTAAAACTGGTATTTTCCTTCTTGATGATGAAATACATAAATGTATCACTTTGCAGTGAAAAGGTGATGCCTCCGTAACCAGAGAGGTCACCTTGAGGCCTGAGTATGTAGTTGGAGGCTGAGGGCACAGCCCTTTGTTCCAAAAGCTCCTTGCAGTTTTGCTGTTGCTTAGGTTAGGTGGTTGTTGTTACTTGTTTTTTTGTTTTCTTTTTTTTTTACTTGTTTTTGTAGTGGAATCAATGTTCACATCCTATGAACTCTGTCCCCTAGAACCCTGAAATCTTTTCTAGAAACCAAGATATTGTTTGCTTCCTTGAATTGTCTTTAGAAATGCAGGATTTAGGAAAGTGATGGGTGGACGCCACCCTGCCCCTTGTGTTTGACTCCCAAGAGTTCGGAAGGTGCCACGCCCACCATTGACTTGAGCTGCTGTCTTGTCTCGTGTTTGTGGCCATCACTGCCCCAGCTGTGCTAAGGAGACCTGTGTCAAAACTTACATCCCACATTCCTGCTTTCCACAACCTATTACTTGCAGTGTTAACCCTAAAATGCCCACATGTATTGAGCTAGTCTTCTGCATTTAAGAATTTTTCCCCGTCCCCCAGCACCTCTGTGTGTAGGGGGAGGGCTCATAAACTTGAGTTTGCCTTTGCTTTCTGTCCTTATTAGACCCTGGTACATGCGACAGACTCAGACTTATATTTGTTGTAAAGTTGTAAAAATATTATGAAGTCATCAATTTTCCTTCCGTCTCCACTTCGCTTAACAACTGATTCACAACTTAATGTAAGTCCTAAAAAAATAAAAGAAAAAAGGTTGGTGGGGAGCAAAGAAAGGCTCTTCATCACTTAAAAGCAACAAAACCAGACTGTTCTATATTATATAATAATTAATAAATAAAATAAATAAGTGTATCACTTTGGTTCTGAGGCAGTAGTGTCAGCTAACATAAAACTAACATAAAAACCAAATAAGATTTAAAAAAAAAAAGGATTCCAGAATCTGGGGCCTTATCCTTTATTCCAACCCCCAAAGTCAACTGCCTACTTGCAGGATGGGCTCCTCAAATCCCTGGGAGGGGCTCTAAACCCACCGTTGACTTTTCTTGAAGGTCTCACCCAAGAAGCTTGACTCCGAATCATAGAGTAAAGATCAGGGCGAAGGAGAAATCAAGAAGCTTGGGAGGAGACAAAAAGAACATGGCCAGGTCATCCAGGGATGTCACTTGCCAAGTTTTAAACCAACCTTCTGAGCTCTAACAAAATGCACACCCCAAGGCATTAGGACTGATTTACTCTGGCCTGAGGTGACTTCCTGTTTTTGAAGAGAAGAGGTGGGGAGCAGCTCAGAGATGGGTTCTGGGCACCAGTCGACTTTGACAAAACAGTCCTCGCTTGACTTCAGCGTAACTGGGGCAGATAGGGCGAGATAGGATTACTCCCCAAACAAGAAGTTTCACAACCAGGCGAGCCACGTGCTCAGCAAAGCGGGGAGCGGGGTGGGGGGATGCCAATGCAGAGGCGGGGCTCCCGGGCCTGAGAGGGAGGTGACAGGCACCGGTGAACTTGCAGGGTGACTGACTTCAGTTGTCCTTCTTCAGCAGGAAACCAAAAAACAGTGCTAAAAGAAGGTGACTGAGAATCAGAGAGACACACTAGCTGCTACTGCCCGCAACTGGCTTTCTTGCACTTATTCCCCCATTTAATCACCGGAGGGGAACTCACAGAGGGCGGCCGCTCACTGCAGGGACCATAGGACTAAGGCGCACAATCAGCTCAGTAGGGCAACAACCCACACTGAATTTTTTCAGTAAGACCCAGTTTCAAATACCTCCGTCAATAAAACCCAGCAATTAGACCACGTGTCCTGTTTCAATAACGAGAGTGAGGCTGCCACCACCATAGGCAGCAATAAAGGTGTGAGCTTGGGTCTGACTTTGCATCGGGGGTGCCCCCCGCTCAGCAACCACTCTCCACCAAACAGCTCGCAGATCCCCTCCTCCACTCACCCTTTTCCCCCCCGCAGGTGTTCTTTTTCTGAATAGCAACAACTGCCACACCCCTGGTGTGTTGTTTGTTCACTGGCGTTCTCCATTTTACTCTGAAACACAAGAAAGCATCCAATAAATAATGGCTAAAAGAGTGAATCAGTGTAGGAATCTATTATCTATGTTTTCCCAGCTAAGCTTCTCATGAATAAGGCCCAGGATCAGAGTTATACAATTCTGTTTCTTCTCAGTGTCCTGTACCCAGTAGGTGTTTTAATAAACACGCACTGACAGATCAATTCCAGTGGATCCTAGGCCTGGATGAAAAGAAAGGAACAAAGGAGAGGATCCCAGAGGGCAGGAGGTCCCACACTCAGTGATGCTGAGTGTTACAGAGAACCCGCCTGTCACCAGGATCCTGACGCTTAGGACGCTCACTCAACACCCTGTGCCTGGACCTCGGCTTGCCTCAGCCCAGAGAACGCTGCCTTGCAGTCACGTTCCTCCCCCACCAACTTCCCTTTTCCTCGGATGCTCTGTTTGCAGGCTTTCCCCACCCTACGCTCGGTGTGACCTGGTCGCCACGTGGTTTCTGACATTCCCACACCTAAGTCCACCAGACCCACTCGCTCTTGCCCCCAATTTAAAGACACGAAACCCTTGGTTTTACCTAGCAATCAGTCTAACTGCAGCTGACTTTCTTCAGGGGGGAATCTCTCGTACTGGGAAAGCACAATACATTTGAGGGTGGGATGGGAATAAGACTGGAGAAGGGTGGCAAAGACCCAGTGATCTTACTTTTTTGTAATGTCTAACAATTGCAGGTGCCTTCATGCAAACCTGTTGCCCTTAGCAACCATCCCGAGGACTATAAGTTAATGTTTCCATTTCCATCCCACAAACGGAGCATGAAGGCACAGAAAGGTCAACCCTCACCGTATGTTTCTGGGGCACAGTCCTCCTGGCCCGGCTCCCACACACACAGTCCCTGTGCAATTCTGTGGGGTAGTCCCACCCAACCCAGGATTTGGGATCAGAGAGACCTGAGTCTACATTATGCCACTGCTAACCTTGAAAAATGGATTTGAACTCACTAAGCCTTGGTCTTTCTCATGTGAAAATTAGAAAAACAAAACATCTAGCTCACGGAGTGTGTGCGATATTTAAATGAGGTAGCAGCAAACACAAAATGCCTGGTCTGCAGCTAGGCATTGCAGGTATTTGATAGGGCAAAAGTTAGCATGCAAAACTGTATTTTTTTTTTCAGAATGCTAGGCACAATACCAGATTCAGCAAAGCTTGCGAAAATAATATTACTAGCCACCAAAAAGAATGAGAAAAGGGAGGACAAAAAAGGAGAAGAAAAAGAATTCAGGTAATTAGTCTATTTGCACCGAAATAATAATTGTAACAGTAAGTAAGCTAGCTGCTATTTGGATGACTGGAAAGTTGCTAACCACAATATGATGCAGTGATTGCTATAATATATACATATATATATATATCAGGCAGAGAGGAGGGGTGGAGGGCACTCTCTGTATAGGAAGACCTCAGACAGTACCACCTGAAATAGGACTTTATGGATGAGTTAGACTCTGACAAGGAAGGAAGAGAAATGTCAGGCAGAAGGACTCACACATGGTAAGCCAACACCCCATGTCTGCAGGGGTGCTCAAGGTGGGGCTGCCCAGGGGAGTGTGGGAAAAGAGACTGGGAAGGTAGGAGGGGCCATACCATGAAGGGCTCGGTTTGCCTGACTGAGAAATGGGACTTTATCTCTGAGGCCTCAGAGGTTCCTGGTAGCAGGAGTGGGGAGACATGACCAGATTTGCTCCGGAAAGAACTATGGTGGCCAGGTGGGGGACACAGAGGAGGGGAAGTTGGAGCAAGGAGATGATTAGCAGTCACTCAAAACAGGAAAGTCACACGTGGATAGATGGTACCGTCGGCAAAACAGTGCAATCTTCAGCGTCAAAGGTGAACCCCAGAATCACTAAAAACAAAATCCTAGGTTGGGTTCCCCGGCCTAGGCGACTCCTCCTCTGTGTGGGAGTCACCATGAACCCTATCTCTGCCTTCCAGCTGCCCTCCAATCCAAGATAAAGGTGAGTAATCCAAAGGAAAGAGCCCCGAAAACCAAAGGGAATATTTATTTTAAGTAGTTTGACGTCTGTAGGAAGGGGGAAAAAAAAATCTACCAAGACCTGAATGGGGAGCCATGACATTCACAGAGCCCGGCCATTGTGTGAAGAGAAAAGTTCCTCAAGATTATGTTTGTCCAAGAAATCAGACAGTTTACGGTCCCCAAGTCAAAACACTCAAGGATTGGAAGCCAGAGTTTCCTGGGCTGAACCCAGTTACTAAATAAAATGAAAAGGAAAGAGCAATTAGATGCCATGAATTGTTGTTAAGTGGGTGGAGTTCGTTGCCAAGGCTCGAATCCCGCAGATGCAACAGCAGAAACTGGGGCTTGTCAGGCCCCCGCCCCCGCCCCCGCCCTCCGCCCCACCGCCCACCCTGATCTGGCCTTGCTGGGGTCACTGTGACTGGATCTACTCACAGCTGCAAACACTCTCAAGCCCTGAGACCCCAGGGAGCTTGAGCCCAGCTGACTCATGTAAGCCAGCCAGATCAGGGCCAGCCCGCCCCAGAAATCAAGAGACCCTTCTCTTCTTGCTACTTGGGTGACGGTCTATACTGGTGTCCTGCAACAAATGACCACCAGAAGGAGCATGCCAGCCCTCCTTTATCCGTACTGGAGGTGTTGTGAGGGGTGGGGGATATTTTATCACCTATGAGAGAAGAGGATAAACCCAGAAAAACCATTCGTGTGAGGATAGTAGGGAGGAAAAGTGGAGGAGAGAGAAAGAATGACAGGGAGGCTGCCACGTCCTTCCAGAGCCTGCTCTCCTCCTTCCTCATCTAGCTCTTTCCACACCTACCCGGAATGAGCTCAGGAGCTGAACTTGGTTGCCCACAGAGTTCTTATCAGGACCACACTGGCTGAAACACTGAGGGAAGAAATAGGGACAGTGATGAGGGAAGAGTGCTGCTTGACATCACCATGCCCCATCTGTGCGTCAAGTCACTGAATGTGACCTGTTTGCAGTAAGTTAGAATCCAGCTGCCGCCTGGGGAAGAAATACACCAGGCCCCTTTGGGCAGGTTGTGTGTGTTGGGGGTTGCTCAGTGACCCTGGAGATTGCTCAGATGTCTCCCACATGGTCACAGCCCGGTGGCCTTCAGAGAGGTATACACTCCGAATTAGGGTCACTGATGGAGTTGCAAGGTATTTGGGGCTTGAAGATTTGCCAAAGTGTAAGTCTTAAAGATCATATTTGTGGAGAGATCCTGAAATGTCTCCACATTTGGGAGATACTTGTGTTTGAGGGTTACAGAGCAAAGATTCTCTTATCAGCACAGCCCTCGGTACAAGAGTGTCAAGTTTAGTTCAGCAGTCAAAGTCATGAGAAATTCAGAGGGAGGTGTGAAATGTCTTCTTAAAACTGAGAAGCAAAATCATTTCATAAACAAACAAAAAAGGAAAAACCCCAGCTAAAATCTGTAAACTATTAACTATATCTCTGCTTTTTTTTTTTTTTTTTTTTTAAAGCATATGGAGAGCTTTTTGGTCAATAATCTATAAAGTTCAGGGTTTTTTTTTTTTTTTTGGTAAGCCCATTTTAAAGAAAGCTCCATTTCTCATGACTGACCTTCTGAGAATAGAATGAGGTGTTTTCTGCAGTGGAGTCTGATTCTTTCATCACTACCGAAGAGCGCTGAGCGATTACCCACACTGCATGGCAGAAAACAGAACGTACTGTTAGACCGCATTGATGCCATCAAAGTGTTTGTGGGGCGTAGAATTAATATTCGGCTTATGAGGGGTAGGCTGGGGGAGAGGGTGGGTGTTGTTTTGCATCCCACATCAGGACACCCTGTATTTAACACTTTGTGTCATTGAGGGTGGTCTCAGAACCCACGCACCCAGAACCAAGGTCGGCCATCAGCCACATGGAAAGGCGGCACCCCATCCCTTCCCCTTACGCTTCCTGACCCTTTTCCTTTTGCTTCCTACTCCTATTTTTCCCCCTCTTGCAAAGAAAAGAGTTCTAAACCAGATCACATTAAGACCTTAGGGATGAAAGTAGCCATCCCCTTCTGAAGGTGTTTGCATGCTACAGAATGGAAGGATTCTGGTCAGGGCTACAGGAGGTGAGTGGTGAGCATGAAACCAGGAAGGTTAAGATCAAAATGGGGGGCCCTGGGGGAGATTGGAGAGTCCTCCTGAGTGTACCTCACATTCCATCAGATAGGCCCTAACCATTTTGCCAAAGCAGGGATTTGAAGGGGATTTCAGGGCATCAGAGCAAAGATTCTCTTTTCAGCACAGCCCTGGGAAGTCCTGCAAAGGTGAAGACAGCCAGCCAATGAAGGATGAAGCTGAGTGAATTTCAGCTTCAGCCCCAGGTTCTGAGCAGCAAAATTTGAAGATCTGGTCATTTATAGACTCCTGGACTTAAATTGGAGGAGCCGGAATCTCAACATAGCGACTCCAGGAGCTAGGTGACATTGAAGTCACCTTACCCCTCCATATCCTGTAAAACGGGGATGATCACAAGAGAAAGTTGTGGGAGCTGAAAAGGGCTGATGCACTTGAAGGCTTCTTCACTCAGAGATGGTCAGAAGATATTTGCCAGATGATTTCCAGATGTGCCAGAATAGGGAGCACTCTCTTTTGAGCAGGATATTTCTCTCCCACACTTAGTGTATGCCTGAGAGGAGAGAGGGACGAAGAATGATCAGACTGTCCACCATTTGTGGACAAAGGGTCATCATAGGGCTCTGACAATTCTCCAAGAGCACGAGTTCCACACAGAGGCTGGCTTCACAGGCTGGCATTGGGGTTAGGCCAGAGGTCAGACAGTAGGTGTGGCAAGGCCCCAGGTGGGCTCAGGCTGGCCATGGAGACAGGTGGGCTTTCCTGTTGAATGCTTCCAGCTAAACCACACCGTCTGGAACCTCAGATTTGGCAAATCAGCACAGGAAAGTTGGTCGCAATTATTTTCCAGGGCTTCCATGCTCTCTGATGTGTTAGATCCTTGTTAGCATTAACCAGAGTTAAACATTTGTTTTATTCTGTCGGTGGAGAGACAGGTTTTAGAACATCTTCCCTGACAAGGTTAAGGCTGCAGGTTCTGACAATTATCTCCTGTCTCCAGAGTTTTTGTGTTTCAGTGTCTTCGGTGCTTTTTTGTTTTGTTCTATTTTAAGGTAATTTTATAGGTTTTTTTTAAATTTTTTTTTAATTTTTATTTTTTTAGTACAGGTATGTTGAGCACAGAAAAAAAAAACAAACATTGCAAGAACCTTGACTTCTGAAAAGTCCTCTCATTCTTGCAGGGGAGGAATTTTGTTTTTTAGTAACTGTTTTTTCATAAAGACAAAAGTCTTAGCAGTTTGGATTTCGGCCTTCGAGTTTTTCTTTTCATCGTTTGTAATTTCAGATTATACTGAAGTCCTTCCTCCTGGAGCCTAGTGAATACAGCTCAATGGCGCCCCCTGAAGGCCAACATAGAGGGGTACAGTAAAAGAAGATAAAATGAGGAACCTCCAGCCCTCCCTCTCCGACCAGCCAAGACAAACCACCATCCAGGCCCAAAGGCAGGTCAGCTTGTAGCAAAACCCAATAATTGCATTCAAAACCCAGTTCTGACACCAACAAGCTATTTCTGCATGTTCCCACATAGTTGAGAAGAGATTGAGCTTTGGCATAAAACAGGTCAAGGGCCTTGGATTGAATTCCAGCACAGACAAGTTACCTAATCTCTCTAACTCACTTTCCTTTTCTGTATAATGTAGAATACAAAGTAATTTTTTTTTATTGCTTACTATGTGGCAGGCTTTGTCCTAAGTGTTTAGCATGTGTTAGCCAATTTAGTCCTTGCTAAAACCCTCTAGTTGGTGTGCTTTTAGTACCCACTTTGTAGAAATCAGAAAACTAGGGCCTAGAGTGAGTCAGAAACCTTCACAGCTGCTAACTGAAAAACACAGGGCTGAACCCATGTGGTGTGGTCCAGAGCCGGGACTCACCCCCACACGTCACACTGATACTTACCAGGCGGGGTCACCGTGAGGACTAGAAAGAGAAATGTCAACCACGTAGCCCTGGACTGGCACAGAATAAACGCCCAACAAACAGTAGCCATAGTTATTCCCATTCTTGGTTGACCATGCTAATAAAAGCTACCATAGAGGCAGGGAATCAGTAAGAAGAGATGACTAAGAGGATGCTTACTGCGTGCAGGAAAATCAGTTAATGCTCGTGGGACTGGCTTATTTCCCTTCACATACTGTCCTTCTTCCATATTGTCACATATGGCACGATTTTCGTTCTTTTTTTAAGGCCGAGTAATATTCCACTGTCTGTATCCACCGCATTTTCTTTATTCACCCGTTGATGAACATTTAGGCTGTTTCCACATTTTAGCTCATATTGACAGTGCTGCAATGAACATGAGCATGTTAATGTTTCTCCAAGATCCTGATTTTAGTTCTTTTGGATAAATACCTACAAGTGGAGTGGCTGGATCCTATGGAAGTTCCATTTTTCTCTTTTTGAGGAACCTCCCTACCGTTTTCCATAGCGGCTGTACCATTTTACATTCGCACCATCTGCACCAGAGTTTGAATTTCTCCACATCCTCACCAACACTTTTTATCTTTCATTCTTCTGATAACAGCCATCCTCACGAGTGTAAGGTGATATCTCATTATGGGGAAAATTATATGAAAAGGAAGTATCAAATTAATGGGCAAGAAAACCAGTACATAGTTTGGACAGTTGGCATACCACTTAAAAATTATATATGAATCCAAAAAAGTAATTAACTCTTACTGTAAATTCTTAGTATTCTGATTGTTGACATTAACCTGTTAACAACAGGAGAAAAAGTTAATTCGGGAAGCACTTTCCAATTATATCTGTTACACATGCAAGGAGAAACAAATACAAGGAGAAACTCCTTTGCATACAATATTTTAAAGAAAAGGACAGGTGAGTTTTGGGATGCGAGGAGAGGGGCAAAACTGTCTTCTATGTGGAGAGGGATCTTGAAACATATCTTCCAACGGGAGGCCAAATGGAGGGGGGCATTGCTTTCAAGAAACTAAAGGTGCTGAGTGCCTCCCAGGATAGCAGTTAATGAGCATGAGCTGGGTTTTCAAGAAGTCTGAATCTACTCAACTAAGAAGTAGCTTCCTTCAGCTATAGCTGCCTTGAGAACTTGTGTCCTGCACCTACAGAGACCCCTTCTGCCCAAATGCTGGTGGTGCAATGCAGCTAACCGCTGCATCTCCCAAAAGATGCAGGGGAAGAGGCAGACACCCAAAGCCACCCTGGGTCTGGGCAGACCCCTCTAGTCTCTGACAAGTCCGGGCACTGCTCAGACCTTCACATGCACACCTAGGGCCCCTGCAATGTTCAGCAAACTCTTCCCAGGCTCCCGTGTGGCATCAGGCACTGTGCTGGGAGCTGCTGGGCACACGGATGAGCAGGTGGTGCCCCTTTTCCATGGGCCACCCAGAGCAGGCTGCAGGACAGCACTGAGAGTACATGCCTATAATGTGCGGCAGAGGGTCACGCCGAGGACCCTTCCAGAGGGGAGTTATTTGAGCTGCTCTGGAGCAGTGCAGACAAGAGGGTACAGAGCACAGAGGCCTGGGGTGGGGACTCCCAGGGACCAGGAGAGGCATGAGGTGGGAAGTGGGGAGCCAGACTGGAAAGGGCCCTGTGAGTCCTCTGGGGGGTTTGTAGCTTGTCCTATTAGTCATGCGCAGGCTCTCTGGTTTTCAGAGAATGAGGGCCATTCACAAGGGTGACTGGAGCTCCTGCGGGATGTGCACACCTGGCCTGAGGTTGGGATGACACAGAAGGAGTCATAGGGCCGGGCCCTCCCGCAGAGCTAGTTTTCTGTTTGAGTGTCATTTATCACCTCTTTCCAGAGGACAAGATGATGGCTTAATGACCAAAGGGGCTGGCTATGGAGGCCTCTCTTAATTTCTAACTGAGAGCCCATAATCACCACAAGAAAAGCCTCCCCGACCCAGGACTTCTGGGGAGACCAGAGTCCAACTCAGAGGTGGTTTGTAACAAAACGGGGGTGGATAAGGTTAAAAAAAAAAAAAGGAGGTTAGGAAAAAAGGCATTACTACATTCTCCTTCACAGCACATAAGGTTTTTAAGGTAGGTAAATCACATCAGCCCAGCCGCACTCAGTGACCTTTGTGATGGAAGACGTGACTGCTGGGCCAGTAAAGAAGTCGCAAGGGTCCCAGGCCTGACCTTTAGCATTTCTGTGATTTTTAAATATCCATAAAACAAGGGTCCGTATGAGACCCAGTGGAATCAGAGGCCCAAGTCCCAGCTCATTTGGGGCTGGGCCACAGCACGCTCTGGCAAGTCTCTGGTCCTGCAGTAACCCCTGGGGACTTCCCTGGGCTCTGGGCCTTGCCTCCTGTGCTCTGGGCAGCCTGGGTCCATGTGAGAAGAGTGAAAGTCCATTTGGCAAAAAGAACCAACCAGAGGGTTGCTCTGCTTGTCTAGAAAGCGGCACCATTGTCCTGAAAACCTCTGCCTCCAGTCCCCGGGGATAACCCGAAACCTGGAACATCACTGATGTCAGCCTCGTGAACACCCTGTCTTCTCCCACAAGCTCAGTGGAGGAAAGCAGATGGCCTCAAAAGCTCCTGTTACCATGCAGGGGCTCCAAGTCAGGTCGCGGGCTGCCTCCCT